TGCTTCGGAAAACTAGTTGGCGGTCTCTTATAAAGTTAAATAAATATTCAATGGCCAGCAATTCCATTCCCAGGTATTTACTCATGAAATAAAATTAGCCCTGGCCAGTTTGGCTCAGCAGTTGAGTATCAGCGCAGGTTGACCAGAGAGTCCCAGGTTCAGTTCCAGCACGGGGCATGTACCACCAAAAAAAAAAAAGAAAGAAAGAAAAGAAATAAAATCATATATGTCCACAAAAAATCCTGTGCAAGAATATTCAGAGCAGCTTTATCCACAATAGGCCCAAACTGGAAACAATCCAAATGCCTATCATATGGTAAATGGATAAACAAATCATGGTAAAGTCATTCAATAATATAATACTCAGCAATAAAAAGGAAAAAGTTACTAATATACTCCAACATAAATGATTATGCTAAGTGAAAGAAACTAGGTACAGCCCTGGCCAATTTGGTTCAGTGGTTAGAGCATCCGCCTGCAGTCCAGAGAGATCCAGGTTTGGTTCCCGCTCAGGGCATGTACTTCAGTTGCAGTTTGTCCCTGGCCCTGGTTGGGTCGTGCAAGTGGCGGCCACTTGATGTGTCCCTTTTACATTGATTTTTCTCTCTTTCTCCCTCCCACTCTATCTGAATAAAAAATGGAAAAATGTCCTCAGGTGAGGATAAAAAAAAGAAACTAGGTACAAAAAAATACATACAGTATAATTCCACTTATATCGTTACCAGAAAAGGGACCTGGCCCTGAACCGGTCTGTCTAGAGCCAGGCAGCAGTGTGTGGGCTGTTGACTTCGTTCAGGGAAAATTTCACAACAGGAGTCCAGGTGAATTTTAAAAGCCATTTATTAAAACTGGGACGCCCTGCTGGTGTGGCTCAGTGGGTTGAGCGTAGTCCCAAGGACTGAGAGGTCTTTGGTTTGATTCCTGGTCAGGCACATGCCAGGGTTGTGGGCTTGATCCCCAGCGTGGAGTGTGCAGGAGGAAGCCAATCGATGTCTCTCTCACATTTGATGTTTCTCTCTCTCCATTCCTCTCTCTCTAAAAAAAAAAAAAAAATCACCCTGGCCGGTTTGGCTCAGCGGTTGGAGCGTCGGCCTGAGGACCAGAGAGCCTCTGGGTTTGGTTCCCGCTAGGGGCACGTACCCAAATAATTAATTTAAAAAGCATATTTATATTAAAACTGGGGATTGTGAAATAAGAAAGAGCTGGAGAAATGAGCCCAGGCTAGTCTGCTTTGGCTAAGTCAGAGAAAAAGGGGGCTAGGGGAAGGGATCAGGGCCTTTGGGACGAACTGCTGCTGCCCACTGCAGCCCTGGTTGCGAGCCTTGTGGGGTCCCTTAGAGTTTAGGAGACACAAGCCTGTGGGGGAAGAAGTGCAAGTGTGCTCTTAGGAAGGAGAGTGTACTGAGTCCTTTGTCTTCAGGCTTTTATTTTTATTATCTCTCTAGCAAACGGGAATCTTAGGGGTGGTCTCAGGGGAGGGTTTCAACAGACTATTCATCAGTTCTCTAGGTGTGCTCCTTCAGGTGCTGGTCTTCACTGATTGGTCAGTGTCAGGGCAGGGGGTCATTAGTCATTGCAGCTGGTCCTGGTATCACCCACCAGGTTTTCCTGCTTTTCTGGGTCTGTAGCTGAAATACAGCTGAGGCCTAGATGTTATTTCTAGGGAGGTGATCTGAATCTACTGTATGCTGCTCTGTCAGTGTGTTCAGCTGTCTGTCTCTGTTTCCCTATTTCATTTGTTCTGGCTTAATGGACAAATATGAATAGGTAAAGCTCACCTGTGGGGTGGGGAATGTGTGTGTTGAGGATTAACTGGGAAGAGACAAGGGAACAACCTGGGGTTTTGGAAATGTTCTCTAGGGATGTGGGTTACACAGGCGTATGCATCTGTCAACTCAATGAACTGTACACTTAATATCTGTGAATTTCACCATCTGTAAATTATGCCTCGATAAAGGGAAGAAAAAAACAAATAAAGGATCTCTAATATAAATACCTGAAATCAATATGCTTTGTTATTGGACTGAAGGAAACCTTATTATTCTAAGGCAAATACAAAAGACACACACACGACTTTTAAAAAATGAAAGAGTGGGCTCTGGCCGGTTTGGTTCAGCAGTTAGAGTGTCGGCCTGCGGTCCAGAGAGACCCGGGTTCATTTCCCACTAAGGGCACGAACCTCGGTTGCGGTTTGTCCACAGCCCTGGTTGGCTCATGTGCGTGGCAACCACTCGATGTGTCCCTTTCACGTCAATGTTTCTCTCTCTCCCCCACCCACTCTATCTGAAATATTAAAAAAAAAATAATGTCCTCGGGTGAGGATAAAAAAAAAAAAAGAAAAGCCCTGGCCGGTTTGGCTCAGCGGTTAGAGCGTCGGCCTGCGGTCCGGAGAGACCCAGGTTCGGTTCCCGCTAAGGGCATGTACCTCGGTTGCAGTTTGTCCCCGGCCCTGGTCGGTCGTGTGGGTGGCAGCCACTCGATGTGTTCCTTTCATATCGAAGTTTCTCTCTCTCTCTCTCTCTGTTCCTCTCTCTCCCTCCCACTCTACCTGAACAAAAAATAGAAAAATGTCCTCAGGTGAGGATAAAAAAAAAGAAAAAGAAAAAAATATGGGAATAAGATAATTACCTCCCCAAGATTACATAAAAATCATAAAACTTATGCTTCTGCAAAGCATCTAGTATATAGTACCTGGCACACTAAACTTGAATCAATGGTGGTGGTAGGAAACAATTAGAAAATGCATAACTGAGCCCTGGCCTGTTTGGCTCAGCAGTTGGAGCATCGGCCTGCGGACCAGAGAGTCTCTGGTTCAGTTCCCTCTAGGGACACGTACCAAAAAAGAAAATGCATAACTGAGATCCACTTTACCCATTGGGCAATTATTTATTAGTTGAAGGAACAGCCCTTCCAGTGGATGCTAATTTGAACATCTACCAATACCCTTCCCTTTTTTCCCCCGAAAACTTGACCCCTTTCTGATAACTGACTTCGTTCCAGCTAGATGGCTGGTGAGGTGAGAGAGGTAAGGAGAGAGAGGTGCCTTGTTCTTTCTTCAGTGACCCTGCTTAAAACTATTCATGCAAATCAAAGTTTTGGATAACCAAATTATATTTAAAGGTATGAGGGGAAACTCACTGTTTTAAAAAAAAAAGTTTAAATTATTTTATGAAATAAAAAATACTTTTAATAAAGATTACCAGTACTTAAGCCAGGCTTCCCATTAATTAGGTTTATTCAATGTGGCATGCTTACATCAACTAGAAAGATTTCTAATTATCTTTCAAAAGGCCATATATTTGCAAATGCTAAAACACGGACCCCAATAACTACTTTCCACAAAGAGCATGTGCCAACAGTGGAAAATGCATGCAGAGCATTCGCCTTTTATCACAAAATTACTGTGTGGTTGGCTTACAGCCAACAATGGGCTCAAGTAGATTTACCTTTCATATATATCATGCAGTACATTTGCCTAATGCAGTGCCCTAGATTTTACAAATTACATTCATTGATGTACTTGCAAGTCTACAGATTTGAATGTTTTCAAAGAGGACACAAGTCATTTGTATAAAATAGTGTCTTGCTCATCAATAAAAGCATGAAATATTTTGAAGCCACCTACTATCCGTTTGCTATACAGTAATTTTAAATGTCTACAAAGGATTTTCTGGTTTTTCGCAAAGTTAGGGTTGAGCCAAGACACAGATTCTATCTGCATTCACACTGAACAATAGTAACCCACACATACCAAAGATCTGTTTGAAACCTTTCATGGCCAAAAAGTTCTATTGTGTCCTGGGATAGTCACGGACTAAAGGAAAGTTGAAACTATAAATAGCACAGAGATGACCATATGCCTGGAGGGAAAATGTTTTGCTTAAAATGGCACAACTACACAGTTGGACATAATGTCCATATTATATATTTTTAAAAATTGTATACGAATCAACAAAAACACTCTGATAATTAAGAAAATTATATTCTCACTAAGTTCTATATACTGTCTTACTACCATTGTAAAGGTACTTCCTCAGGATGCAGTGGTATGTACTGAAAAGTGGCTCAGGTGTAACTCTCCATCAAGTAGTCAGTCACACAACTTAAAATGCAAGGGAACCCAACCCAACCACGGCGCAGTCTAGGGGTTCCCACAATCAACCGGGAGCCAGGCACAGGGCAGGACTCCACCAGGTTTCTTCAATGACCCTGATAATCATTGCTCTACAAATACAATCTTTAAAAGTTCCAACCTTAAAAAAAAAAAAAAATCAGATTTGCCTGAAGTCTGATAAGCAAGGTTCAGGGATCACCTGTCAATAAGCAGGAAAGTAGGTGTAAAATGGCTTCCCCGGGCTGATTGGAAGGCAGTAAATCACAAGTAAATCCCTTCCTAGATAAGGGCTTTACAACAAAAGTGTGGGGGGACCATTCACAGAGGGTGACGGGAACCCCCAACCATTCCATCTCGGGATCCGAACATGCGCATCCCGAGGCCAGACTGGGGCAGACACTGGGCGCGCCGGGTGACAAACATGCCCAGTCACCCCACGATGCTGTCGGAACCCGTCGAAACAAAGCCCACCGACTGTTGGGAAGAAAGGAAAACACGTGCTCCTCGGACAAGACCCGAGTTCTCCGGCCGCCAAGCGCACTTCCAGCAGAAACTGCCGCCGCAGCCGGCTCTGTGCCCGGGGCTCTGGGGCGCGCCCGGCCCACCCGCCCACCCCCGAAATGCCCCCAACTCCCAGCCCTAGCTGGCACCCGCCACAAGTTGGCCGAGCCGGGGTGACCGCGGACAAGCTCGCCCAGAGAATTAAGTTTCTAATAATATAACTTTAGGCGGATTTAACGCCGGCGTCACCCAACCCAAGGCCGAACCCGGAGCCAACAGAAAAGCGAAGCGGGGGCGCGGGCCGGGGTCCCGGCGGTTCCGGACGCAGGCGCCTCCTCCCCGGCAGGTGCGCCCCCCGCATGTCACCACGACCCTCCGCGCTCACCAGGTACCAGACGCCGAGCAGGATGGTGCCCGTGCGGACATGGCAGCACAGGCAGCAGCTGTTGGAGTAGAACCGCGTCCAGGGCGCGACCATCTTCATCGCTCGGACCGCGGGCGCAGTGGCGCGAGCGCGCACCCAAGTTTGCAGGAACCTCGGCCGCGTCACTCCGGGCCGCTGCGCGGCTGCTGCGGGCTCCTCGGCCGCTCCGGCTGCCGCCCCGCTGGTCTCCCGCTCGCCCTCAGGCCTCGGTCCGCGCCTCCCCCGAAGCTCCGAGCAGCTGCGGCGGCCGGGACCGTGCGCTCTGGAGGCAGCGGGAGAAGGAGGGGCAGGAGGAGGCGGGCCGGCCGGGGCACGTGACCCGCGCCCGGCCCGTGATGTCACTGCGGGCTCCAACCTGCTGCAGCGCAGCCAGCCCAGTATAAATGAATAAATCATCTTGCACCACTTGGGGGTCCCCAGTCCGCCTGCGGTGGAGTTCCGTCTGCAGTGGAGTTCCCGGCCTTCCCCCTCTCATTAGGTCATCCGTGTAACTCTGTCACGGGTTCAGGTTCCTGTACAGGCCAGTGGGGTGGTGGTTTTCTCCCCTGCCACATCTATCTTGCAGATAATCTGTTGGTGCAGTGCTATCTCTGTTGGCCCGTCTTGCACACTGGAGGAGGGAGAACTGCAGGGTGTGATTCCCATCAACTGCAGTATTTTGAACCGCTGTTGGAAGCCGCCAAGAGCAGTTGGTCTCTGCTTCCCAGCTCAATTACTGTGGAAGTAATTTCTTCCCAGAAAATAGGATGTGTGTCAAGGACATCCTCACTGTGCTTTGGGTAGTTTTGTCAATGTAAGAAACATTCAAACCCGTGAAGAATTTTTGTGAGTTTATTTAAGCCAAAACCATCGAAATTGCCAACAAGGAAAACCTCAATGGATTGAGATAATGCTCCAGAGACTGGCGGTTGTGCACCTCACTTTATACATTACAATCAAAAGAGAAGATGCAAGTGAATTACGTGAAACCCATTGGTGATAGATTAGGGAGGTGGGAGAGAGCAAAGGGGGGAAACCTCTGAGCCTGGGTGAAAAGTAAAATGATAGACACAGCCCTGGCCAGTTTGGCTCAGCGGTTAAAGCGTCAGCCAGCGGACCAGAGAGTCCCAGGTTTAGTTCCTGCTAAGGGCACCTACCTCACTTGGGGCCATGTGGGTGGCAACCAGTCGATGTGCCTCTCACATCACTGTTTCTCTCTCTCTCACCCCTCTCTCCCTCTCACTCTGTCTGTACAGGATAGTTAATAGTCAATAATAGACTTAATAACGATGAGGGGATTTGTGGTCTCCACAGAGTGGTGCCAATGCTTTTAAGGGGTCTGGAAAAAGGAAAATTACTTTGACATTCCCAAGATGTATTATTATGGATGCAAAAAGACAACAGACAGGCTCAATTACGGTACAGATTGACCTTTGTCCTATGATGATGGCCTAGGACATGACTGTCTGCCATAAACTGTTCTGGCAGAAATTTGGTCGGCAGGAAGAGACAGACTGCATGCACTCGGAGGATTAGAAAATGACCGTTTAATGCGCACCGGTGCTGACCCAGCATAGTCACCTCTAAAGGCTGAGCCCCGCGCCAGGTTCCAGCTGCCTTTTACACACGCTAAACCTCAGGGTATTTGGAGGCTTTCTAGTTCTAATGTAGTTTAGGCAGTTGGTGGATGTAAGGGAATTACAGTAGCCAGGGGCGAGGTCTCTGCACTGCCTAAGGGGCTGCACCTGGCTTGCCTTTTCAAAACTGCTTTTAGTTAAAAAGTTTGAATTTCAGACCTTTGTGCTTACTTTAGGTCCTTGAGTCTGCAAGGCCATGTCACGCAGGCCTTCCCTGCGCTTGTAAGGTTAGCATGTTGCCCTTTTTTGTCCACAGTTTTTAATCAGGATTTCAACTTAAAGAAACAGTCATCAAGCCAATTATTGCCACAAGGTCTCTGCAAGACACAACAGCTTTAAGAGCTACTGAAAGCTAGGACTCCAATTTGGGGCTATTTCCTCCCATTGAGCGTTCTGTCTGGAAGCACGCTTGTCCTAGGTTAGCCTCTGAGGGATAGGGTGAAGAAATAAAAATATAGTCACTTTATAAAGTAGGTTGAGGTATGAGGAAATGATTCTATTCTTGTTTGAAGTATCCTAGGAACTTAATCTTTTGAACTTTCCAGTCCTGCCTCAATGTATAATAACATCAAACCTCCAGATAACCCTCTGACTACCCGCTGAAGGCTGAGGAAAGGATGTTCATGTATCCAGACCACCAGTAATCTAGAGGAGTACCATTTGGAACCAGTCCAGAGGCTAGGAATGCAGACTGATTCTTCTCAAGAATGTACTTTTTATCAGAACCCTCAACTTTTCTTTCTTCTTTGGTATACTCACTATTGCCTAGTGGTTTCCAGTTTGCAAAGCCCCTAGGACTCTTGAAAAGATCTGTGTGTGTGTGTGTGTGTGTGTGTGTGTGTGTGTGTGGTATGTGCCCCTAGAGGGAACCGAACCTGGGACCCTCTGGTCCTCAGGCTGACGCTCAACCACTGAGCCAAACTGGCCAGGGCTTGAATAAATCTTTATCATTTATTTCTAGCAAAGCCTCCAGATTCTTGAACTTGTTTAACACCTTTAATCACTCTTTAAGCCAAGCATCTCAGACAAATGTCAAAGTCTCATTTCAGATTTGGAGCAAGAAAAAAAACTGGTTGGATTTAAATTCTTAAGGACAGGCGTCCGGCCCGTGTGGCTCAGTTGTTGAGCGTTGACCCATGCACCAGGAGGTCACTGGGTCTATACCCAGTCAGGGTACATGCCCAGGTTGTGGGCCTGATCCCCAGTGGGGGACATGCAGGAGGCAGCTAATCCATGTTCTCTCTAATCAATGGTTCTAGCTCTCTCTCCCTCTCTCTCTAAAATCAATAAAGGAAATGGGGCGGGGGAGGGGGAATCAGTGGGGGGAAAAGGAGAAACATCTGTAACAAAAATAAATTAATTAATAAAAAATAAAAATAAATAAAATCAATAAAGGAAATGAATAAATTCTTAAGGACAGGCTATATAGGAAGGAAGAGGAATGTTAGATAAGGAATATCTAAGTGAAGGACTGGCTAGTTTTACAAGGCCGTGAAGCTGTCACATTCTTACTATGTAGCTTAAACCTGGATCCACAGGGACCCAAGAATCATTCTTGGAGATAACAAGCGTGGGCTCTCAATCAGAAATAATAAGCAAAATTGTTGTAGGAGTTAGCCAGAAAGACAAAACAAGAAAGTTTGTTTTTGTCTTGTTTTCTCACGACAAAGTTCTGTTTTCCTTCACATCAGAGATAGTTTTCTCTCTGGAATCTTTCATTTAGTAATTAATTACGTCCACAAGCACTTATAACCAGCTATAGTACAAGCACTGGTGCTCTGAGAAGAACTGGAAATTGAGAATCAGGGTGTGGAGTGCTACTTTGCAAATTCAAACTTCCTGCGAGTTCCCGCTTCACCCTCTCCACCAGAGTTTCAGATCCATTGAGGCAGAAGACTCATTGATTCAGGAAATTTTATATTTCACAGAGCTTACTATTCAACATTTGAATTTGTAGAAAGATATCAAATTGCTCTAGACAAGAAAAGAGGCAGAGAATAGAGGAAACCTGGCTGAAGAAAGGAGGTAGGGAGAGAGAAATGACATATCTATGAGCAACGTTTATTAAATAAAACTTAATGTCAGTACCTTTGGAGTTGAATTTATTTGGATGCAAGAGAATATGGGGATTGGCCTCAAAACAAGAACAAAGGCTTTCCAAGGAACTCGGTGACAACTAAATCACTCATTTTCAAACAGTGGCATATTTAACTGGAATGTTTTTTTTCAAGTTTCTTATTTTCTAGGACTTATTGTATATCAATCTATCTGTTAGACATCCAAATTATCCAATGTTAATTTGAGTGGCAACTATCTGTAAGACACAGACTTGAAGGCTACAAAAATTAGAATATCTGCTCCTGCTCTCAAAGTTTATCATCCACTCTAGTGCCCAAGTCATTATGACATTAGTTAGAATGTGTGCCCAGTATCCTTATAGGTAAAAGCAAAATGCCATGGGAAAGCAGAGAGGGATTAATTACATTAAACTGTAGGGAGTTGGCATCAGCTGGGCCCTGGAAAGGGTGAATAGGATAATAGACCAGGAAAGGAGAAGGCAGAGACATTTGCTCCAGGAGTTGCACAGAGGCACACAGTCCTGAGGTAGGGAAGGTCTCACTTAAGCCTCCTGGGCAAGGCTCTGTCCCAGGAGACACCTCAGAGCCCTCTCAAAGGCTGAGAAATTCCAAGAATTACCATCTAGCTCCCCTGGAAAGGAAAAATGCGTTGGAAAGGAATCCATGTTCCTATGCCAGAGGGTGCTACAATAATGAAAGTACTGTTCTCCTAGGCAAGACAAAAGAAAACCTTATAAGTCTCTTCATGCAGTCTCCACATAAACCAGGGACTTGTGCATTCATCCATTAATGCATGTGGTGAATGGGAACTTACTGAGTGTTTCCTTGAAGCTGAGCATGGACACCACCTCAGAAAGCATGAAGAGGTCTCTATCTATAAAGAGTTCACAATTTAATACGGGAAGACAGAGAAATAAACAGAAAATAACATAATTGCAAGACAAGTGCTACCGTATATTTAGCACAGGGTGCTGTGAGAGCCCCATATCTCAGCTTTAGGAAGATCAGAGAGGGCTTCCCAGAGGTGGTGTTTCAGACTTATATGATAAGTCAGAGTTGGCCTGGGGGTGAAACAGAAGACCACCCCAGGAAAGATGGAGCAGGATATGCAGTTGGTGATGTTTAGAGACAGCAAGTAGAACAGTAATAGCTAGGAGTTACTATGTAAAGGGAAGTGGGGCAGAGTAGAGAGAGCTATAGGACAGAAAGCTTTAGGGTTGTTCATGTAGATGCAGGAGGTAAAAGAGGATGAAAATCTTTTCATGCCATGCTGCACTGAGAAGCCTGGAATATAGTTCCTGAGGAAAATGGGAAACTTCTGAGCTACTGATGGTTTTATAAATATTAAACTCCCATGACTTGATGATGAATTCATGTCACAAGCGTAAGGTATATACAAATGAAATAGGCAGGACTTGCTACATAATTTGCAGAGTCTAGTGCAAAATGGAAATGCGTGGCCCTCTTGTTGTGGACCCCGAGAAAGAAGATACCTAATAAGAAGGGCTCCCAGGCCGGCTGGTGTGTCTCAGTGGTTGAGCGTCAACCCATGTACCAATAGGTTGCTGGTTCGATTCCTGGTCAGGGCACATGCCCATGTTGTGAGCCCAATCCCCAGTGTAGGGCATGCAGGAGGCACCCAATCAATGTTCTTGCTCGTTCCTGTATGTTTCTATTTCTCTCTCCCTCTCTAAAATCAATA